TATCAATATTATTATTAATATATTTATAGATAAATTAAATATTTCATAAATATAATTAGTTATATATTAATATATTTTTACAAATACAAAATTAGAAAAAAATTAATTAAAAATATTTATCTAGAGATTGTACAAGTATCTACCTATATCAACAAAATGTATCTACTTTTTAGTAGCTTATTTCATAAGAACTTAATAGTTAAGCGTGCTTGATTTAGAGTAATTTAGGGATAGGTGACCTTCTGGAAAGTTTTCAAAAAAGTGTGTGAGTGAGGACAAAGCATGCTAAAAAGTCTTGTGTTAATTTGTGGGGTCAACGGTTGATTCTAAAAGTGGATGGACATCTTAGAAAGGGCTACTCTTAGAAAGTTCTGACCAATAAAGAATTCTATGACATTTATTTATTACAAGTGCTATCTAAACGTATCCTACAACAACATTTATTTAAAACAAGTGTTGTTTTAAAAGGGATTATGATAGTACTTTTGTAAAATAAGTGTTATCTAAAAAGGTCGTACAATAGCACTTGTTTATTACAAACGTTATCTATTTATGTCCTATAATAGCACTTTTAGTGTGTTGTTAAAGGTTGACCCCCTTTAATAGCATGGGCATTAACAGCTCACAAAAATGTTATTAAAGACCTTATTTAAATACTGTTAAAGATCTTTTTTGTAGTAGTGCGAGAAAAATAATAAAGATAAAAATAAAAAATCTTTTTAAGTGCACAAATTCAATAATATTTTTAAGAGATTTTTCATTAAAAAGATATTGAAAAGCTCTAAAAAAATTATAATTTATATCTAAAGATATTCTAATTAAAAACTTACCTTTTGTTGTCAAACTCCACTCAAACAAAATACTTTTTTAGTGTGCTTTCATCATGTTATGCAAACTACCTATTTACATATCATATGACCTGGATGCATGGATTGTGGTGACTATAATGTTATATTTGTGTTAGAGGAGTGAATAATATTTTTAGAATTAAAGATTATATGCACAAATTAATACTTTTACTCCCGCACTAGTTAGTAAGAAAAAATTTTAAAAACTCACTTATCTCAAAATTTACTCATCTCAAAATTGTTTAAGAAACATGTTTAATTGTACGAGTTGTTCAAGTGCTTTAAATTGTGTCATAGAATTATTATAAGGTGTATTAAAGGATGTTATTTAAGTTGTTTATGTTGAATTGTTGTTTGTATGACATTGTTTCTGTTTCACAATTTTATCTTGTGTTTCCTTTTTGATTTGAGATTGTTATGATCATACTTGATATGATAATAAAATAGGATTAATAAGCTAAGTGTACTATTATGTGGTAATTCATGCTATAAATGACTCTTTTTTTGGATGTTGTTATCCCAAGGTAATTAAGTATTGAATAAATGTTTGACTGACGATTATGTTCATTAAGTATATAGTAGTAACTTTTTGTATGAAGTCTATATATATATATGTGTGTGTGTGTGTGTGTTCAGGAACAATTATTTTATTTATTACATATATGAGTACTTGCATGAGATTTACCCACTTGTTGCATGATATTTTAAGCAAATGTTTGATGTTTGTGTTTTTCCTTAGTTGTTGTTGGACCATAGTAAGTGTAACGATTAGACAGGTCGTTACAAGATAAAAATAATTCAAACTTTAAATATATAGATTGTGTTGATTCTATAAAATTAAAGTTTAAATGTAGACTATTATTTATTATAGGATTTTTATAAGTTTGACCTTATCATTTTAAAAGTCTGACATAAGCTATTAGCCCATTTAAAAGTTTATTTTATAATTACAAGTTAACAATGTTAAATAGGACAATAAATTTAATTTCAAACAGACTAACAAATTTGTTTTTAAATATGTACATGAGTTTTTTTTTTAATTTGCATGATAAAAAATAATTTATTTTTTATTATTAAAAATTAAAATTAAAAATAAATAAAAACTAATTTAAGAGAGACAACTCATACATACTCATGTACATTAATGTACACTTATGCATGAATTATGATAAAAGAAAATAATCTTATATTAAAAAAATTAAACTTGCTTATATTTTATTTAAAATATTTTAAATAACCAATAATAAAGATGAAAGAAAAAAATTGACAAATATACAACTACTAGAGTTTCATGGTCTACAATTAATTTAAAAACACAATCATTAAAAATTAGTTGATACTTTGTTATATTAATTAAAATCAATGTATATTCTTAAAAGTATGTTATATGTTAATTTGAATCTATATAGTGTAGTATTATATTATTTTTAAATTTTGTAAAAATTAGTAAAATTAATTAATTTATTATTATCTTTTAAAATTATTAAACTTTAATATAAATCAATAAGTTATTGTGTAGATTAAAAATTTCAAATAACATAAAAAAATGGGATATTAAATTAAATAGAAATAAAATTAATTAATTTGTAAACAATTTTTTTCTTTTCTCTCTTTTTTATTATATGTAAATAAACTTATATAATTTCATTCTAATTTATTGATGAGTTTGAATTTAAATTTTGAATATATATTTATTTTATGGAAGTTTTTTTTTATCTATAAAATTTTTATAGATACTTATATATATATATAACACTCAAGTACCTAACTCAATCAACTGAGTTTGCTTTTCTTATTTTAAGATACAATAAGATTTGTAACTATGATCTTAGTTGATGGATCAATAAATAAATAAATTTTGTATATATTAAAAGTTATGATAAGATTATATTGAGAATGGTGATGATAAGATAATATATGAGCATTAAAGAAAAATGCATTTAATAACATGCAAATGAGACTAAGAGCATCTACAATGGGAGTTGCTTATAAGCAACTCCCAACCACTTTAAATGGGTTCCATTGTGCCACGTCACTCATAAGCAACTCATACTACATTTTTACAATTTTTGCTCCAATGGGAATTGCTTATAAGCACTCTTACTTTTTACAACTCATACTACACTTTTTTGACACTTCACACTACACTATGATAAACTTTTATAAAATTAATTATTATGAATAATATATAAATATGAATAATTAACAAATTAAAAATTATAATAATAAAAATAAATTTATTGATAAAAAGAAATACAAAAAATTACAATAATAAAAAAAATTACATAATAAAGAGAAATTATTATAAGCCACAGGGACGACGACACTGGGACAACGGCGAGAGGAGGGCTGGTCCTGGTGCGACGGAACTGGTGCGGAGACGACAACTTTGGTGCGACGACGGTGGCCAGGTGCTAGTGTGACGGTGCTGGTCCGGCGACGGTGGCCACGGGGACGACGACCAGAGGAGCTCCGCAGTGGCTGGTGCTGGTGCGACAGAACTGGTGCGGGGACGACAACTTTGGTGCGACAACGGTGGCCACGGGGACGACGACCAGAGGAGCTCCGCAGTGGCTGGTGCTGGTGCGAGTGAATCTCCGGCGGTGTTGCTAGCTCACGGGGAGGTCTTATGTGCGACGGTTCGTGGCTTTGGGCATGGAGATGTTGAAGCGGCCAGCTTGGACAGATGAACCAATAAGAACCCTCCATTTGGCATTTCACAATCCTAAGCACCGGAGCTTCAGGAAGGAACGGTTCTAAAAATTTTCAACTTTTTCTTGCCACGTAGGATCACTCCAATGGCAAATGCTTATAAGCTCTGTTGCTTAATTTTAAGAAACAGCACAAGCACCCTCCCCTGGAGGTGCTCTAATATGTGTGTTTTGTGGAGATATTTGGACATAATTAAGTTCCCAAGGAGAAGAATGCGTGTCTGGTGTAAGAGAAAAGCAGGACAGACAGAAAGGTATGAAATTGGGACCTTGTTGTTCTAAAAAGACACGCAAACAAAACAATGACTCTCTTTTTTTGTTTGAAATTGTTTCAACTCAGTGGGCGCCGCGCATTTCGTTCATTATCCCACACCGCTCCTTTGAGTTCAGTCACAATGCAATTGCAACGTTGCCATGTCATCACCTTCGACCTTATCCAAACTCATCGGAAACCTCACTCTTCACGCGCTTTTACTTCCATCTCTCACACTTAGACTTCATTTTATTTTTTTAATGTTCTAGCATCATCGGCAGTAATAATTTAAAATTAATTTTTAATGATATAAATATTATAGAAAGAAAAAATCACCTCTAAAATATCCTTTTACATATTAATTATTAAAATAAGTAATTTTTAAAATAAATTAAAGAAAGATTATTTCAATGTTTTTAAAAGATAATAGTGCTATATAATCTTAGAAGTGATTGTTACAAAAGTTTTTAGTTCTTATTATTGTCTTGTTTGAAAAGATTTGTATACAATATTTGAAGTAGTGTAAAATTTTATGAGTTTAATTTGCATGTATAAATAGAATAATGGAAAAGTCATTTACACACTTGGTCCTACAAACTTTTCTCAAATTTTAAAACTAAAATTCTAAAACATAAAAAAGTCCATTAATACTACGATTTGAATTTTAATAATATGGAAAAAAAAATACTAATAAAACACACTTTATTATTAAATAAAAAAATACGTAAAAATTTGACCAATATTCCGTTAAACAATAAAAATTATCAAAACATAAAAGTATTTTTTTTTAATGATTTTATCATCTCACCTATAGGTTTGACTCTTTCGAAAACATGCATTTAGACAATTTTGTGTTCTCAATATAAAATATAGGAATCCAAATAAGCAACGCGCTAAGGAGAGGGAGATATGTTGAATTTAGAGTGGACGAAAGACATAAAGGAAATGCTATGATAGACGATGATAGGGTGGGTGTGTAGAGGGAACAAGAGAAATCATAATCGGATAAAGCCGAATCTTACTATTTCTTTCCAAAGAGGAACAATAAAATAATAAACAATAGGATAAAGGCCAAAAGATCCTTTAATCTTATCTGCCACCTTAGCACTTTCCTTATAAATCATCCTAAGATCTTTCAAACCTTCCATTCCATATATAGTTATCAGAAAAAGAAAAGAAAAAAAAAAAAAAAAAAAAAAAAAAAAAAAAAAAGGATAACGTTTGTGTTTCCTAGTCATAAATAAAAGTGTTGGTCAAATATAAATTGTTTGCGTGTTGTTCATCAAAAACGCAACACACGCACAAAGGGGTATCTCAAGAACAAGGCATTAGAGATGGAGAAAAATTCAACTGTTGAAGCCCATATGAAAGGACCAATTCATGAGTACCATGATCTTGTTGATTCTTTTTCTTCTTCTTCTTCAACATCTGAAATTTCAAGTGGTTCGTTATCATTGGAATCTGATTCTTTTGAAGAAGTAACATCTTCTTCATCATCGGGTGATGATCAACTTGTGGTTGTAGCTGATCCATTGAGTGATATGTCTTCTCTCTTTCAACAACTTCCCATCAAGTAAGTTTCTTAACTTCCCATCAAACTTTGTTTCTTCTTTAATTTTTTTATTATCATAAACTCACAAATTAGTATTTAGTTATCACAGATTCTGAACTTCAACTTTTTGAAGAATGAAGTTTATTGATGACAAACTTTTCTGAAAAACTCAATTGATTGTTTTTAGGAGTCTGCTCTTTTATAGCGTTTTTTTTTTTAAAATCCAAAATAGTTCATAGTTTCAAACATAAGTCACTTTTTTTTTTCTTCTTTCAATCTGGGTGTTTTTGTTGGTGAATTTGTTAAAGTTTGTGGCTTTTGACAATGATGTAGGAGGGGGCTTTCAAGATTCTACCAGGGGAAGTCACAATCTTTCACTTCACTAAAAAATGTGAGGAGTTTGGAGGATCTTGCAAAGGCAGAGAACCCTTACAACAAGAGGTTGAAGTCTTACAAGAGCTATGTAGGAGTGTGCAATATTCCTAGTTCCATGTCAAAGGGTGTTTCTAAAATGCAATCAACAGGTTCAAGTTCAAGGGGTTCATGTTCTTCATTGAATGCAAGAAGGGACAGTGCCACTAACTTGAGGCCACCAATTCCTCCTCATAGATCTACCAGCACCAACACAATCCCTAATCAAACTGTGTTGTTTGCTTGAAAGGGGTTGTGTCGTGTTCTTTTTGTGTTTTTGTTTTCACTTTTGAGGGACATCATGTGATGTAGATTATGTAGTTTCATTTGAGGAGCAGAAAGAGTACCATGCCTACACCCAATATCAATTTTTTATTTTATTTTTAAATCACATGTGAAATTTTGAGTTCCAATTTTAACCCAAATGATTATTTGTTTCTTTTCTTTTTTCAACTTTGACCAAAATGTTATAAGAGGATGTAGATCTCATTAAAAATTCAAAATCACCTCAAATGTCATTCCTCATTAAGTCTTGTCAGGCGCAAATTTAGTCTGATTTATTTTATAATTTTGCATCCTAAATCTAACATCTAACATACTTGATTTAACTTTTATATAAATATTTTAGTATGTATAATGGATATAATGAATGTTTGTTTTATATAATCAAAATTTATGATTAATAAATATTTTTAAATATTGATAAATAAATTATATTATAATATAAAATTATTTTATTTATAAATATTTTTAAATATAAAATTTAAAATTTAAAAAATATAGATGACAATGATAAATTAAAAGATGTAAGAGTTATGAAAAGTCCCTTAAATTATTTTTGATGAATAAAATTTATTAAAAAATTGTTCTTAAAAATATTAGATAATTATTTTAACTTATAAAAAATTAGTATCATTTGTTAGTTAGAATAAGATAAAAGCACTTTATATTAAGAATTTTGAATATTGAATGTTCTATAGTTGATCTATCTACTCTAAATATAATTATTTGTATAAAAAATATATGTTGTATAGGAAAAAAAATTATGAACCAATAAGTATCTAACTAAACATATTAATAAATTTATAAGCTATCAAATTTATTATTAAACAAATTAATAGATTGTTGTAAAAATTTAACTCAATTGATTGAGCAAAACTTGTGAATTATTGTAACTCTTGAGTTTGATTCCTCCAGAAAAAAAAAAAAAAAAAAGAAGGAGGAGGAGGAAAGACCTATAAATTAGTAGGTTTAGTATACTAAAATTTGTTAAAATCACATAAGTATATTACATTTCGCAGATATTAAAATTATCTCAAAAAAGAAGTATAATATTTTTGTTATTACAATTATAATATTATATATTATAATTGTTTTTTTATTAAATAATATTATTTATAAAATAGCCTAATTTAATTAAAAAATATTTTCTAAAAGCCCAAAAAGTCATTTTTTTTACTAATTTAGCTAGATCAATTTAGGCTTTGGACTATAAAAGAGTAATCTAATCTATTTTTATCTCTAATTATCAATGTTTATGGTTTTTCCTGTTTTAGTATGATTTAAAGTTAATTATGATGGATAAGAATTTTAAAAGTTAGCGCTTGAAAGAGTTATATTTCTTTCTTTCTTTTATTTTATACAAAGATAGACAAATTAAGCTCCGTTTGAGTTGTATTTCAATGTTATAATCCGGTTTAGTATTGATATTCTTTTGAAAAGTATAAATTTTTAAATAATTATATATTAAGAATATTTTTTTACTCAATGGCTAATATTTAAAATATCATAATATTCAACTTAAAATATATTTATAAAATATACTTTAATTATAGTTATATCTTTATTTAATTTTACAATCTAATTATATATAATATTAATATATGAACAAATTAGTTAGACTTACTCTTAGTTAATATATTATTACATAAGTTTTAATAAAGTCCAGTTTAAATTTAAATAAATAGCTTCTGTAAAAAATAAATAACTGTATAAATTTATTGAATTAAATATAAATATACATAAATTAATCTAAAAAAATATAGATAATTATGATTTTCAAATCAGTCTAATAAACAATCTAATTCAACTAAAAACTCTATATGAGTTTAGACTAAACTGAATCTCATAAGTTAGTTTAAAAGAGGTGAGATTTGTCTGTCACATAAAGATTACAGATAATATTTAGTTTTTAATTAGTTGTTTTTGAATTATATATTGTGTTTCTCTATTTAAGAGGTCTTGAGTGACCAACTTTTTCTTTTGCTCAGCCCAAAATGGATTGGGTTCCAATTGGGCCATGCCATGACAAACAAATCTACTCTTTGTGGACTCCAAGTGTCAAAGAAGTTCATTATGGTTGTTTCAAGTTGAAAATACGACAATACAAAATTTATTACATATTTTGAAAAGTTTTTTATTTTTTATTTTTAAATCTAACTAAAAATATACTTCAATTTATTATGTATATCACGTAATATATATTTCATTTATTTTTCAATAAGTATCTTATTAGAAAAAAATAAATCTTAAAATAAATGTCAAGTTGTTAACTTTTTTTATTTATACTTTAACAATTAATTAAAAAATATTGTTGTGTTGTATCATTTATAATAAAATAAATTAGTCACATTCTATTTCAACTATTTATTATTTTTTCTGAATAGGTGTCAAATAATTTAAGATGACATTTATTATTGGATAAAAGAAATATATTATTATTTCTTTATATCTTCATATAGAGAGTATATATAAAATGAAAAAAATATGTGAGCTAAATAAATGTTGAAGATTAAATTATTAATTTTTTTACACCAATTATGAATAATTAAAATTAAAACATTGAAATCACAAGTTTTCTTTTTATAAAAAAATATCATACGAGATTAACTCAATCATCAATGAATAATATGTATGGTACGAATTTACTCTTTCACCCTCGTATAAAAAAGACTTCTTACTAGATAATAGACATGACTCCTTTTTGTATATAGGGTTCATATATTTTGTGATGAATAAAAATAATAGACAAGTTATGTGAATTTTTAAATATATTTTTTTAAGTGATAACGTCACGTTAAATATTGACAATTCTTATATAATTGTTTAAGTCAAATTTACCCTTCACTACTGCATAAAAATAACCTCTCACTAGATATGCTATGTAATATGTTCGTTTGTGTGTGAAAAATAATCAATTGATAACAAGTGAAAACTTTTTTACTTACCCTCCAAATAATTTTATGTAGAATACAAAATTAATTGATTCAAACATCGAAGCCTATGATACTATTTTTTTTAACTAATTAATTTTATGTCTTTTTAATGTAATGAACAATTGCTTTTCGTTAAATAATTTAACTTGCATTTTTTTAACTAGTATTTGAAAAACATTCATCAATTAACATTTTTATTAAAAGTACATGCATAGCTTTAAAAGAAAAGGGAAGTGATATCCTTAAATTAATATAAATAGTTCATTTACATGGTCTTAACTTTTAGGGTTAGTGTGGGATTGGTGAATGATAGTTGAATGAGTAAGCGATGGTCTAAGTTTATCTCTAGTATTTTTTAGTTTGTGGTGGATAGTGAATGGGATCCAACTTAAAAGAACATAGTCTGGTAACCTAATTCTTGCACATGCCTCACTTATTTTTAGTTGGCGATGGTGAGATAGATATGCTAAACCGACTTTCATACAGCAATATAATAACTTTGCAATCATTACTATAAAACAAAATAATTATCATGATCAATTAGCCCCACGTTCTAAGGGTAGTCGTGCATCAACCTTAACTAATTAGGTCATATACATAATTATATATATAGGGAGAGAGAGTTAGGTCACCTTTGTGTTTAATTGGAATCAATCTTATATTAGTTCATTTAGATATCAAATTGTTACATTTTCAACATAATTAATTTAGAATCAACTCAATTATCAGTTCATTTTTGAAAAACATTTTGGTTATCCCTAGAGTTTTTTTTATATAAATAAAATAATAAATCAAGTCTTTAAGTAAAACTTGTTTAGACTTTATATATATATATATATATATATATATATATATATATATATATTCACATTAGACTTAATATATTTTTTATTTTTTTTTATAGATGTGATGTATTTGCCCTCCCAATTCTTTAACAGTGATATTTATTAATACTTTCATGGAATGGTAACAAATTCTAATCCTGATTCTCTACTCGAAAAAGTTGCAAGATTCATTAACTAATGACCACACACATATAATAATATATTTGTTATGAAAGATGTATAAGAAAACATAGTTGAATTGTATTTATAAAAGTTTAAATAAGTTTAAAAGCTTTTTCTGAAACAAATATTTAAGAATGGTGAAGAAAAATTCTACCATTAATTGATGAAACATGTTTCATGAAAAATTATATCTCATTAAGAGTTATAAATAAAGAATTATATCCAAGAAGAATTATAAATAAAAGACTCATAATGAAAGATTATGAATAAAGAGTGGTGAATGAAGGATCATGAATGAAAGTTTTATCCTTTATAAATAGGGAGACTTGGAAAGTAGTAATAGAGTTCAACGATCCTTAAGTTAGATCGATTGTGTACTTAACTCGGTACAAAATAGAGTGAAGATCAATTTTTCGGTTCAACTAATAAATCGAGGGTCAAACCAGTTTAATCATAAAAATATTTTTTTATCACTTAAAAATAAATTTAAAGGAAAGCATAGCATGGGAATTAAACCTCTTACTCATAGGAGAGTGAAGAGTTTTATCAAACATTATAATAATGATCACTTATTCTAATATATTTGTTTGTAATATTTGCAACTTAAATAACCTTTATAATATATTATTAATTTTAATTATATATTTAATAATATATATATATTACATATATTATTTTGTGATATCAATTATAAGTATATTATATATATACATATTATTTATATTTTAAATTTATATTAATATATAGTTTAACATTTTTTCATGTATTTTTTTATATAAAATAAAAATAAAGATAATTTTAAATAAGATGAGAATTGAAATTTAAGATATGATATAAATTTATTGAAACTTATAAGTATAAAATATATTTAATATGAATATTTTTTTAAATTAATAGAAACTGGGTCATGCAGTTCAATTAGTGACCCATCGAATCAACCTTTAATCTATTAACTCATACTTTATTCAATTTGATGACTAGTCTAATTTTTAAAATTATGATTCAATCTATTCTAAAATCCTCTTTGAAAGAAAGAGAGAAATAGAATATAAAACTCATTGTATTCCTCTTTGTAAAAATAAGAGATTATTTCTACCACATTTAATAAGAATTGAGAGATAATCATATAATAATGACGAGATTCTTTAATTGATCCAAGATAATTTGTAATCCTAATTTTATGGTGAAGATTTTTTATTAGATTAAGTCTCATAATTTTTCTTTGCTCATATTGAAAAAAATTTTCATATAAAAATTTTAATTTTCTACTTTTTATTCTTATTTTTACTTCAACATAGAGTCTATTT